ATCGGTATCAGTATCAGTATCAGTATCAGTATCATTATCATTATCATTATCATTATCATTATCATTATCATTATCATTATCATTATCAGTATCAATATCAGTATCAATATCATTATCATTATCAATATTAGTATTAGTATTAATATTAGTATTAGTATTAGTATTAGTATTAGTATCAATATCAATATCAATATTAGTATCAGTATTAATAACAATATCAGTATCACTATGAGTATGAGTATGAGTATGAGTATGAGTATAAGTATAAGTATGAGTATGTGTATAAATATCAGTATCAATATCAGTATCAGTATCAGTATAAGTATGTGTATTAGTATTAGTATTAGTATTAGTATTAGTATTAGTATTAGTCTATGTCTTTCAAATAAACTCATCTCCATGTCTTTAGTCTAAAATACTCTCCATAATATATTTTTATCAATTCCATCCATTATACTTTAACTTCCTTAATATTACACATTGACCTCGGATTTAAACAAATGTATCACATCAACCCCCATTTTAATAATTTTTTGAAAATATATTTTTTTTTCTGATTTTTTTTTCTTAGAAAGTATTTTAATAAATATTACTGTCTTGGTTGCTAAATTACTGTCTCAGACAGTAATATTACTGTTTGGGACAGTAATATTATGAATATTATTTTCGGGAACAATAATATTACTGTCCCAAACAGTAATATTATTGCATGACAGTAATATTACGGTCGGAGACAGTAATACCACAATCGAAGAGAGCAAAATTGCAGGCCAAGACGATAAAATTAATTAATACAGTAATATTACTCTCTCATACAGTTAAAGTACTGTTAGAGACAGTAATTTTAGCAGCCAAGACAGTAATATTAATTAAAATCATTTTTTTAAGAAAAAACAAGATTTCAAAAAAAAAAAATCAATTAACAGTTAAATTACTGTCTCCTACAGTTAAATAACTGCTGCAGTCAGTAATTTAGCAGCCAAGACAATAATATTAATTAAAATATTTTTTTAAGAAAAAAAAATCAATTAACAGTTAAATTACTGTCTCCGACAGTTAAAATAATTGCCGGAAACAGTAATTTAGCAGCAAATACACTAATATTAATTAAAATATTTTCTTAAAGAAAAAAAAAGTCAATTAACAGTTAAATTACGGTCTCCGACAGTTAAATAACTGTTCGAGATAGTAATTTAGCAGCCAAGAGGCCCAAGACAATAATATTAATTAATTTTTTTTTTAAGAAAAAAAAAAAGTCAACAACGGAGACCCGCGGCAGTTGACCTACCGGAAAAAAATTCAAAAAAAAAAAGTTTGCAAAAAAAAAAAAAAAACGGCTGATAACCGGCGGTCTAGGTGTGGCAGGTCAAAATTGAAATTAGGGTCAAAATTGGTTCATTGGTGAAATTGGGCTAAATTGGGGTGTAAATCATGAAATTATAGTTGAATTGTGTTTCAATTAATTTAGTGTAAATTTTGGTATATATAAAAGTAGGCACGGCCACGGGGCGGGTCGGGTCTGGGCTTTTGGGTCCCCCGACGGGAAAACCCGTCAGGACTCGGGTCCAAAAAATCGGGACCCGAAACCGACTCGTACTTGGTCGGGTCCGGGTCCGGGTCCATGGTCAACGGGGCGGGGCGGGGCAGTCAACGGGTCGGGTCCGGTCCGAATTCGGGTCAAACCCAGCCCGTGGCCGTGTCTATAGAAACGAGTTTTCCTTATTTGCAAATAAGTTTGAATAAGCTGGAAATATTTGAAAGTCAAAAAAGTTAGATATCCCTTTTTTAATTAAGTACCCTTGTCATGGGACGTTTTCACTAACTCGAGACCGAGAGAAACTATTATTTAACCGACGATATTAATTTATCAAGGTTCATGTAGGTGGAAAATGAGTTGGTTGGTGGATAAACCCGACCCATCGATAGCCGTACCAAATTTATTACCATTATTCTATTTAGGGTTAATAGCATTTCGCCACCTAGACTTTGCCCGTTTTTGCACTTTGCCACCTTAACTAGAAAAAGTTGCAAGGGCACACCCAAACTTACATTTTTGACGCACATAACCACCTACGGTGAAATATTCCGGCGAATCTTCTCTTTTTTCAGCGCACGCGCAATGCACATGCTTAGTGGAAGGGTTTTTTGGTCATTTCAACTCAAAAATCTTGTGGGGCCTTTTTTTCTCTTTCTTCTCCTTCTCTCTTTCTCTCTTTCTCTCTCTTTCTCACACTCCCACGCACATACAGTACATACATTCCCCATCTTGATTTTCTTCTTCTCTTTCTCTCTCTTTGTTATTTTCTCAAGAATCAATCTTCGTCGGCCGCCGTCACCGCGACCTCGTCCGAAATGACGGGGATGAACCGCAGCTCAGAGGGGTGGGCATTCCAGCGGTTCCTGTAGGAGGCCGCCTCCCCCGATCACAACAGCACCACCGTACAACGCAACGACGTCGTTGAGATCGAAGCCAACTCCAATCGTAACGATGAATCCGCAGGGACAGATTGCGGTGGTGTTAGGCCCACCCCCGAATATTCATGTAGAGTATGAGGAGTATCAGACCTTCCTTAAAAGCCGCCTCAAGTTGGCCTGCACCGCCGTCGTTTGTCCCGAGTACAAGCTTTTTTTCTTATCCAAGTTTAATTTTTAAGGAAATAGGGAAAATAATGGAATTCCATCTTTGATGATGCTGGGCTGATAATTTGTACCATATGCTTTATGTTGTGTACCTTATGGTTTTTCCACATGTTTAATTTCCATCTTTTGTATAATTAATGATATTTACTACAATACGAGTTCTCTATATCCATATATTTATTCTTATACTTACAAATACTGAAAAATAGACATCAATTTGTGCTTGTTAAGGTAGATGAGGCTTTGTACATGATTGAAGAAATGGAAAAAAGTGATCAGACCTACGATTTATACTTTCACAGTTCCCATCACACCATTGCTCAAACACGGAGTTTCTTTTGGGAAAAGATTAATTCTTGAGAAAAGCACAAAGAAAGAAGAGAAGAAGAAGATGATGATGGGAAAGAATGTGTGGGTGTGCGAGAAAGAGAGAGAGAGAGAGAGGAAACATCATAGAGAGAAGGAGAAGAAAGAGTAAAAAGAGGGCCCATAATTTTTTTGAGATGAAATGACCAAAAAACCCTTTCATTAAGCATGTGCATCGCGTGTGGCGTCGGAAAATGAGAAGATTCGCCGGAATATTATTCTTAGGTGGTTATGTGCGTCAAAAATGTGAGTTTGGGTGTGCCCTTGCAACTTTTTTTAGTTAAGGTGGCAAAGTGCAAAAACGGGCAAAGTCTAGGTGGCGAAATGCTATTAACCCTTCTATTTAAAAAAAATAAAAAGAAATTAATCACTGCAATTTAATTTCACCGTTCGACTTTGTAGCTGATGTTTGTTTTTATTAGGGGCCTTGAGATATAGGTCCCTAGTGACAAAACTTATTAGAACTAAATGACAAGCTCAACTAAACATTTGTTTCACATCCTTTATAAAATTCATTCCCAAAATGCCCCTCCACTAACAAATTTAATTTTTTTATTAAGTAATTAAACTGCCTTAATTATTTTTTTTATTCTACATTTAATATTTTTATTTTTCGTCTGACGTTTTTTTAATTTTTTTTACGAAATACCCAATGGTCTTTTTTTTCTCTTTCATTCTTTATTTTAGCATTTTATAGACTATTATAAACAAACTTCGTTGTTTTTTTCTTTTTTTTATACATAATATTGAAAATTAAAAAAAAAAAATTATTTTTTATTTTTTTTATAATTCAATTTCACGTTTTTCTTTTTTTTTTTTTTTTTTTAGTTTATCTTCTATCGGTACACCTATAGTTACCTTTACCGTAGTCATTATGGTCGTTTATAGGCTTCTGAAACATGAACTTCACTTTGACACATTCTTTGTCTGTTCATATATATACACTACAACAATCTGTAGTAGACTATGGTATAATATGGTGTACTACGGTGTACTATGGTGTACTATGGTATACTATGATTTAGTACGGTATACTATTCCGAACCCTAGCCGCGAATAACTCTCAGTCGGCCAGCAGTAAACGCAGCCGCAACGAAATCCTAGCAGCCAAGCCCTATCTTCTCACTACAAGAAACTATAAAATTCGCAACACAAGGTGTCGTTGCTGAAAGTAAATAATTTCGTTGCCAATTTAATTGGCAACGAAATAGTTTCGTTGCCGGCTTCGTTGCGGTTTCCTCGTTGCGGAAAGTCTGGGGCAACAAAAAGTACAAATCGTTGCCCATACATTGATTATTGACAACGACTTCATATTGTTGCCACACATATATCGTTGCTAATACCCAAACTATGGGCAACAATTTTAGTTTGTTGCCACAGATGTTTCGTTGCCAATACAATCAGCAATAGCAACAAATCTAGTTCGTTGACAATACATCATCATACGCAACAAATTATTTTGTTGCCAATATATCCATCATGCACGACGAATTTATTTTGTCGCCAATAGATTTACCGTGCACAACGAATGTATTTTGTCGCCAATACATTTACCGTGCGCAACGAATTTATTTAGTCGCCAATACATCCATCATGCACCACGAATGTATTTCGTCGCCAATACATTTATCGTGCGCAACGAATTTATTTCGTCACCAATACATTTACCGTGCGCAACGAATTTATTTCGTCACCAATACATTAACTGTGCGCAACGAATTTATTTCGTCACCAATACATTTACCGTGAGCAACGATTTTATTTCGTCACCAATACATTTACCGTGGGCAACGAATTTATTTTGCGGCCAATACATTTACCGTGCACAACCAATTTAATTCGTCGCCAATACTTTCATCGTTCGCAGCGGATTTTGTTCGTTCCCGCAATGAATTATTAATTATTATAACAAATCTTATTGTAATAATAATTTTTTTGTTAATTAAAAGATTAATTATACATTTTTAGATTTATAAATAAACAATGTAACAATGTAAATAAATAGACAAATAAATTAAATAAAATATTATAAAAGTAACAGTCAATTACTATCCCAAATAAATGAAAACTAAACTGAAATAAGTATTGACATGAAAATTCAAACGATCATTCTAAAACACCTAAAATAACAACCTAATATTAAAGTCTTCCTTACAAATTGAATTTGAAAACCTAAATAAAAAATATAAACTAAAACATCATTACTACTTTGAGCTTGAATAAGATGATAGGAAATCCACCAAGTGCATAACTTCTATTCTCTCGCCAAGTAGAATGTCTCCACTCTGCAAAATGATCTAATTATTACTTGATTATGAGATTTAAAATAAAATAAAAAGATATTCTAGAAAATATTACCATGGAGAGGTACTTGAACGTTGTTGAGACTCCATCAATTGTTGAATGAGACGACCATACTCTTGAAGAGTTGTTTCCATGGAAACAACTCTATCCTTAAGCTCCAAATTTGCTTTTTCCTTCTCTTTTAAACGTTCTTCAAGCATTTTCATAGTCGAATTTGATGCAATTTTTTTTGGTTTTGGACCATATCCAAGTCCAACAATGTAAGAAGATCTTCTTCCAAGAACATCATCAGCAATTTTATCGGCATCAACTTTCTCACCAGATTCTTCGACTTCAGTCCTACGACGTTCCATTTCCACCTAAAATTGGCATCAAAGGACCAATATTAATTACTACAAACAAATGAAGTTTCGATCACCGAGAGTTTAACATTTATGTAAAGTGAAAAGCCTAATTCTAATTGACAATAGAAAGTACATAAGTCTTGCCAGATAAACCAAAACAAAAATCCAAAATAACATCCCAAAGCAAAATCATCGTATTATTCATGAAAAAACAATACAATTACTAATTACTACCGTGAATCAACTATAATATAATTTTAAGCTAATATATTCATATTAATATACAGTAAAGAACTCACTACAAAAAATATCATCATATAAGTAAGAGTACAAACAGAATACAATGTAATAGACAGTTGAAAATTTACTTACATAATTTTTTTCACATTGTGGAGTAGCCCACCCCTTCCCTTCTTTATAATGACAATGTTTGTAAAATTTTATCCTATCGACTTCCTCATCACCATCATCATCATCATCATCCTCCTCCTCCTCCTCTTCTAGTTCTTTACTCTGTAAGAAAATAGATAGAGATAAATGACATTCTGTTATACATTAATATATTATATTATAGAAAATTTAAAGTAACTTACAAGTATATGGCGAGCTGCTACAAAAGACCTAGAGCCTTGATTATGATTTGTAATCATCTTTTTTCGATTGTTCCTATTTATTTTGCATCTTTCCTATAAAGTTGATTTACATTATAAAATGCATAATAAATATTAAAAAAATATTTTCACGAAGAAGATCATACTTGGTACTGAGGATCGCTAAAAAGATTAGTACATAGTAATTCCCAGTTCGCTTGAGTTAAGCCTCCAAAGTAAGGTTTATTTCGAATTGCTTCCTCCAGCGAAGTGAACTTCCCGAAATGTTTATTCAACCTATGTCGCTGGTGTCTGATTCGATGCTTTAACAATTCCAAGACATTCTCTTTAGTTTCCTCTTCTGGATTATCGATGGATAAATGCATCTGCAATAAAAAGATATTAAAAATTATAATGATATCGTAATAAGATGAACAACATACATAAATAAATATATAATAATTTCGCAAAAGTATACTACTAACACCAAGTTGATCAAAAGCCACCGACAACTCAGACTTTTCAAAGTCCTTCCATTTAGCCGGTACACGCATCGATTCGCGAGAGAGTATCCCCAGCTCACTAGATAACTTTGCTGATTCCACACTATCAAGTGGTCTTCCGTGTTTAGCATCAATGTGAACAACCAATTTTTGTTTGTTTTGCTTATTTAATTTTCGAAGAGCTATCCCTCGAGTGCCCCCTCGAACATTCTGTTTGTTGGTTGAAGCTGCATTATCAAAAAATTATGCAACTTAGCTTATTAAATAATTTAAACTTATTGTAGAAATAATTTATAAACATGAACAATTTACAAATGTTACTATCAGGAGTTTGTGGAACGGTATCCTCTTGATCCAAGGGAGACAATGATCCATGAGAATGCGACTCCACAGACAATGAGATAGACGGATGTGTAGCTCTGCTAGATGATGCATTAGCTCGATTGCGAATCGCATTAACCATTTTTTCAATTCCTAATCAACAGCAAAAGTATTTATATTAAATCAACATTAACATCAATTTTAATAATACAGGTTTGTATCATTTTTATTACAAATGTTTAACAACTTCAAAACTTCACAAGAGTCCTAAAATGTACACCAAGTTCCAATATGTTCAAAAGATTGCCTCCAAAACTTCTAGCATCCACCATACTCAATACTCAAATTTTAAAGAAACACGGAGAAAATCTTTCCAATTTTATTCCATCAGTAGAATGACTAATACTTATGCAAATTCTTTCAGTCTGAAAATCAACTACAAACAAGCCAATCATGTTCAAACATTTAAGAGTTCTGATGAATTTATAAAACAATCTCATGTCTATCTACTACAAACAATGTTCAAATAGGAAAAATTAAATTCAAATATTAACCTGAGTGTCCGGTGCACCAACCAAAAGCAACTGTTGTCGCCACCACTATGGCAGAAACGTACAAATCATCAAAGGAATTCGATATGATCTGTAATAGGTGATTCTTTATATATTTGATATTCACCGAAAATTAGCGCGGGGGAGTGGTGGTCAATTGCGAAATCCAGAAATTCCCTCCTTAGTGTAGTCGTGGAGTGAATGAAATGCGAACGTGTGTTTATTGAGTACATTGTGGTTGTAATTTGATTGGTACGTGGTGCCATGGTTGTCAGAACCGGGTCGGACCGGCCGGTCCGACCGTGAACCGGCGCAAAAGGGGCCCGATTCAACCACTTAAACCGGAAAAAACAAAAAAAAATTGGGGTCTAAAGAAAAACCCGGTTCGACCGGTAAAATTTCGGAAACCGACCCTAGAACCCGGTTTTTTTATCGAAACGCAGCTAGGTGTCGGAGTTGGGGGCTGTGTGGCCGGATGTTGATGTTTGGTGGTCGGATCTTGGTTTTTTGAGGCCGGATTTATGTGACAGATGGACAAATCTAAGAACTGAGAAAAGAAAGAATAAACAAAGCTAGAAAGAAATTTACACATGGGAGATAGGGTCGGTGTGAAAATAGAGAGAAGAAACAAGACAAATTAAAAAAAAAGAAAAAAAAAAAAAATAGGAGATGAAGAAGGGAATTTTGCAGTCTGCGTGAAGTTGAGGATAAAAGAAAAAAATGTAAAGATAAGAGAAAAAATGGAGAATACGGCTGAAGAGAGATATTATTATTATTATTATTATTATTATTATTATTATTATTATTATTATTATTATTATTATTATAATATAAAAATGAAAGATATATTTATTAAAGTAATATATATATATATATAATATGGAGAATTATACTTTTGGCCCATCATGTTTGGCCTGATTTCACTTTTGGTCCAAGTTGTTCCAAAGTGAACAAAGTTCACCTCCAAGGTTCAATTTCGGGAACCGGCACTAGAACCCAGTTTTTTTTTAGGCTGAAAAATAATTAGAAATTTTAAATACACTACTTATAACTAAATTTTTAATAATAAAAAAATTAACTAAAAATATTATTTTTAATTATACTACTTATAATTATTTTTTTTAATAATAAAAAATAATTAACAAAACAAATTAGTTTTAATTATACTTAATTTATTGTAATTATACTACTTATAATTAAATTTTTAATGATAAAAAATTAACTAAACCAATTATTGTTGATTATGCTTAATATTTTTTTTTTTTTTTTTTTTGCTGAAAAGACTTCGTTATTCCATTATAGATAGGCGTTCGGGGCCTCGTTAAGACCTTGTGGGCATATCATAAGGAAATAGTACCACTATAATGGTAATAAAAAGTCAAGGACTCCTCTAACTTTTCTAATTTACAATTTGGCCCAAATGGGGGCGAAATAAGAATAACCTAAAACTAACAGCCTTATAGCTAGGTGAATTACAAAAAATATCTAAAATACCCCAAAAGGGGTTACTAATGCAAATAACCAAACTGCAACCACAACTGAATTGAAATAACCAAAAGGGGTTACTAATGCAAAAAATATCTAAGAGACCCCAAAAGGGGTTACTAATATAAATAATCTATAAAAACAATAATGATAACAGTAATACTTAAAAAAATTCTAAATGAGTTGTTCTCAAGCTCGAGCTCATACAATGAAATATCGACGAGATTGAGATCGTCAAAGTGGGCTCGAGCTCGAGCTTAAAAGATCTGTTGAGTTCGGCTTGAGCTCAGCTAGTGTTATTATTATCTAAAATCTTAGATATTGTATCTTGAGTACAATCTAATTATTACAAAGTTATGATTCATTTAGTCCATATTAAATACATGATTTTAATAACGTCAAAGAATGCAACATAATCATTTTATGGTGCTTGTTGATACGATTATAGTGGTGAGCAAGTTCGGTCCATGCCCCCGATAAAATCATGAAAATTCGTCCCATGTAGGGAGTATCTATCAAAAGCAATGGGTCTTTGTTTTTTTGAAAGTTGTCATGTATGGTCTTGTTTAAGTAAAACGGCATAATTTTGTTTTAATATGTACTAATATAGTAAATCAATATATATAAACTAGATTAAATATTAAAAAAATCTTAACTTAACAATAATATCTGAATAAAAGTTGTCGACTAAAAAAAAATTATTCAAACAATAACGGATTTCAATCCATCAATGTTGGGAACCCTCTAACCTGCATATCCTAAACTCGCTTAAAACCCATTATTTTGATTCACACAAGTAAGGATCTGTAATATAAGCGACGATAACAACTTTTTTTCTAGAAACCATGAATTTATGGCTCTTGCATACGTCTACATAAGATTGAAGAAAAAACAAATTGTGGAAAATAATATGAAGAAATTATTTTATTCGATCATTCATATAGATAATAACTAGAACTAATGTAACGAAAAAACTAGTGCTAGTCTCTCGAAGTTCACTTTACCACCTTGATCTGTTGAAAAAGAAGAAAAACAAAAATCAATTAAAATAGTTAATAAAAAAACGACTATATAAAGAAAGCAATACGATAAATTCTTTCTGCTAAATGATTATCGAACGATAAAGCATAACCAATTTGCAGCTGAACATTTTATTTCACAACATCTACCAAAGGCCTACTCTAAATTTACCGCAAAATTAATCGACATCTGCTCCTTTACGCACATTTTCTCTACATTTAAATATTAGGAAATTTAGAAGAGAACAAATAACGCCGTAAAGTTGTAAAGTTCTAAATCGTAATTTAACTACAATCAAAAGCAGGTCATCCCATTCCTTTATAATTAATCTAGTGAACATAACATGGATAAAACAAAGTTAAATACAAGGATATGAGCAATGTCGTATACATATAATGTATAAATTTATACTTAGATTTGTTTCCCCTCTGCCACAATGACAATGTAATTGTCCAATATCATTTTATTCACAAAACCAACTTCAAACTGAAACTATAAATTAAGAGTTTCATCTGAAAAATAATAAGCATTTTAATCTTGAAAGCAATTTATGGACTACAAATTTCAAGAAGCTAGAAAATGATGTCAATCCATAGTACTGCTGCAACTACTCAACTAATATCTCTTTTGACAATAAACTTTATTGGAAGAAAATTAGCACAACCTACAGAGTACAATATAAAGCAAGTCAAGCTTTACTAGAAAAGTTATCCAAATACACAAAACAATACCATATTGATAACAAGATACATAAAAGAAAATTTGAAAAATATAATATAGACAGAAGTTTGCATCTCCCCTGCTACAAGATATAATAATTTGGATGAATATAAAGTATGATGGAAATCGGGAAATGCCTATTGGTAATGACGAACAATCAAACAGTATCCCAAATTACTCTAAACGGGAAGAAATAAAAGGGTATCAAACAAAGTTCAACGAATTATATAAGCTTAAGATAAAATTAGAAGTTGTTAAAACGAAAAAATAAGAAGAATAAATAAACTAATTTTTATACCTGTATCGTATCCCTAAGCTAGTTCCAAGATCGTATTTGAGAAGAAATTTCCACGTGATCCAATACATCAGCAAGCTACAGGGACATAGAAATAGTACTTCACAGTTACAAATTTATATGCATTTACTTCTTTGCACATTGAAGATCTAAATGAATATATTTTCTACAGCTACATATTACAAAACAAAAAAAAACAAAAAAAAAAAAAAAAAAAAAAAACTTACCAGCAAATGACAAGGTACTGTAAAGGATCTAATTTTTTAGTTATAAGTCATTCCAAGTCACTATCATCATCGGTGATTTGAAATTCTTCCTCTACGTTACAATAATTATTCAATGTATCATCTTCTTCAGAAACATCATCTTGAACTGCGTTGAAATCTTCAATTTCATTTTCCAAACCTTGAATTGTATCAACCCCAACAACGACCGGATCAACATCATTTCTCTCCAGAGATATTAACTCTCCTAAATCATCTTGAACGGATGTATCAAGTTGTGAAGATTCATCTTCTTGGTAGACATTATCGTCCTCCCTAATATCTCCATCATTTATCTCTAAAGAGTCGAACACGTGGCGATGTTGAAATTTTATTACTATTCTCCAATCTTTGCCCAATTTCATATCATCAAGGTAGAATACTTGCTTTGTTTGACATGCAAGTATAAATGGGTCATCCTCATACCATGTACGACTGATATTGATGCTAGTGGTTTTCCCATCATGTATAATAGATTTCTTGTTACCAAGATTAAACCATTGTGCCTTAAAAAGAATAACATGATTGTCTTTGATATAGTCTAGCTCAATTATTTCAATGACGATGCCGTAAAACTCGATCATAGTGTCATTATGGTTACCTTCAACCATTACACCACTATTTTGTGTTGTACGACGACTATCACGATCCTTAGTATGGAATCTTACTCCATTTACAATACAACCCGGATACTTGTTCACAATCATACTAGGTCCACATGCTAATGCATACAATTCATCTACATTATCTTGTGGATTATGTGATTTCTTTTGCGCCATCTGCATAACAAATAAGGTATTAGAGTATAAATTCCAAAACAATAAATTATACAAATTAACTAAGTTTCAATTATTTCTCTTACATGATGTTTAAACCACTCTGGAAATTGCTTTTTGTGCCTGTCTTCTAAATTCAATATACTCTCTTGCTCGAGTATCTCTTTGTGCATTCTATACAAGACGATAAAATTATTATTTATCGATTTGCGAAAAGTAAATGCTTATAAAAAAAATTATGCTATTATTATTCAACAATAGATTACTTACTGGTGAAATTGTTCCACTTCTTCACAATTGCTCAAAATATACCAATGAGCCAAATCTAACTCGTCCCTTGGGGGCTCACAATATTTTATAGCTCCAAATGGTCGTGCCTTTTGTGAGAAAACGGACAACTTACAATCAACTTCTTTATCCATATTCCTTTCTTCTTTGTTAAAAGAAGTTTCAATTCCATCAAGGTACATTGAGCAAAATGTCAAACATTCATTGACAATATAAGCTTCTGCAATAGACCCTTCTGGACGAGCTTTATTCCGTACGTAACCCTTTAATGTACCTAAATATCTATTATAGATAATATTAATTAATAAGAAAGGATATTGCTTTAATTATTGAGAGAATTCAGATATGAATAATCATTCAATGATATGTAAATATAAACAAAATTAATACTTATACGTTACCTTTCAATAGGGTACATCCATCGGTATTGAACTGGGCCACCTAACATAACTTCACGTGGTAGATGCATAGCTAAATGCACCATAACATCAAAAAAAGCTGGTGGAAAAATCATTTCAAGCTTACACAATATCTCAATAATATCTTTTTCCAATTTATTTACGTCTTCTACCATCAACTTTCTACAACACAACCTCCGAAAGAAATCCCCTAACTCAAGTATTGCAGCGTATATGTCTTTGCTCAAACATCCACGAATGCCATATGGAAGTAACCGTTGCAAGAGAACATGACAATCATGACTTTTCAAACCCACTAACTTAGCTTCAGACACATTTACACAACGAGCAATATTAGAAGCATATCCATCTGGAAACTTTTGTGCTTTAACAAATTCACAAAATTGTTGTCCTTCTTTTTTAGACATTGCATAAGCTGCCGGTGGTATAACATACCTCCCATCATTTCTTTTTTTTAAATGCAGTTCCTTTCTAATATTCATATCCTCCAAATCTTTCCTTGCTTTATATGTATCTTTTGTCTTCTTATCCATATTCAACAACGTCCCCAAAATATTATCACAAATATTTTTTTCGATGTGCATGACATCAAGATTGTGTCTTAAGAGTATTGTCTTCCAATAAGGCAATTCAAAAAGAATGCTCCTCTTAGTCCAATTCAAATCTTGTTTATCTCGCTTGTTTTTTTTCTTTAAACTGGGATGTTTTCCACCTTTAACACCTTTTAAATGCATCGTTTGCTGAGATACATCATTTCCAGAGAAGTATTTCGGTGCCATGTTTAGTTCTTCTTTTCCGTCGAACTTGATTTTATTTTTTCGCCATTTATGACCACGAGGCAAGTATCGACGATGACCCATATAACAAATTTTACTTCTCAATCCCTTTGAGCATGTATGTTTATTGCAGACAGGGCATGCCATATAACCCTTTGTACTCCAACCAGACACACAACCATACGCAGGAAAATCGTTAATTGTCCATAAAAGAGCAGCATGCATTTGAAAATTCTTCTTAGAAAATGCATCATAGGTTTGCACACCTTCATTCCACAAGTCTTTTAATTCATCAACTAATGGTTGTAGGTATACATCAATATCTTTACCTGGTTGATGTGGTCCAGGAATGAGCAATGACATCATGAAATATGACTTCTTCATGCATTTCCAAGGCGGCAAGTTGTATGGAATGATAATGACGGGCCACATGCTGTAAGAATTACTCATAGTACCAAATGGATTGAAGCCATCAGTTGCCAAAGCAAGTCGTATGTTACGGGCATCTTTTGAAAAATATGGGTGTTGTTGATCAAATTCTTTCCATGTTCTTGCATCTGCTGGATGTTTCAACTCTTTTTCATCATTTATTCGCTTGTCCGAATGCCATCTCATATCTGCTGCTGTCTTCGGTGACATAAACAACCTCTGCAACCTTGGCTTTAAAGGAAAGTAGCGCAATATTTTGTGAGGAATTTGCTTTCTCTTAGCATTACTAACTTTCCATCTAGAAGTACCACAAACTGGACACTCTTGATAATTTTCATACTCTTTCCAAAATAAAGCACAATCATACTTACATGCATGGATTGCAGTGTATCCCAAACCCAAGTCATTTAAAATCTTTTTTGCATCATAGTATGATTTCGGAAGAGTTTCACCATGAGGTAAAGCTTTTTTTAGCAGTGTTAACATCATGTCAAATGACTTATTGCTCCACTTATTATAAACCTTTATGTGGAGCAAATGCACAATAAAAGATAAAGTTGAGAACTTCGAGCAACCTGGATAAAGTTCTTGTTCAGCCTTACGTAATAGCTCAAGAAACGTCATAGGTATATCTTCACTTTCCTCACTTTCATTGGTGTTATGGTCTTCATCAAAACGACGAGTATTTTCATAAAAATTTCCAAGATCGTTCAACAAGTCGTTCACTCCATTTGTGTGGTCGTCATCCTCATTCACAGAACCATTATCAGAATCACTACGAGGAACTTGATAATCAAATAATTCACCATGATGAATCCACCTAGTGTATTCAGTATCTATACCTCGAATAAGCAGATGATCAAGCACTTCTTCTTTACTTCTAATATATGAGTTCAAGCAAAAAGTACAAGGACACTTAATCTCACGTTCTTGGCCAATGTGTTCATCCACAAACTTCATAAATGATTGAACGCCCTGTACATATTCTCTAGAAAACTTTCTAGTTGTCATCCAACTTTTGTCCATCACATACGACCTATTGAAGTATAGCATACGTTATTGTGTGTGTAGAGAGAAAACGAATGAAAAATAGCCAACTCTAATACAATATCTCTTTTATTTAAAAATAAATTTAAGTAACTACATCAATGACCTGATTCAAATTCAGAATGACAAATCTTCTCTGCTCATAGAAAATCCCTTTACATAAGATCCATCCCATATGGGTTAATACAGTGAGTAAATGTTGTAGTTATTATATTATTATCAATCTCATTAATTTGACAACTCTCTTATTATCATGAAACATGAAGTTTTTGATCGGGGATAAAGATAAATTAACGAAATTGTGCAAGAGAAAAATAACATTTAGCTGAACATATAAAATCTCTTAAAAGAGAAAAAGGTTGGAGACATGATTAACCGTGATACTTAATCGTATGCCCAAACAGTATTGTGTTCAATTTACCTACCAAAAGTATTCACCGCCGTAGTGTTGTCGCCGGAGAAATCAAGTGAGCTCGTTCTCTGGAGGAGAAATCGATTACGTAACCTGTCCTTTGGATATAAGACGAAACTTGGTGAGGATGATTAATTAGTTTCAAAATTGAAGTTTAAATTGGTGTTGGTGTAGCAGAGAAATCAATTTTGGGATACCTTTATAACAACGGCGACAGTGTCGTGTATTAGCTCGTTTGTTGAATCTGTTTCCCTTTCCTATTCAAATTAGGTATTTAGCCGTATTGGGTGGTAATTGAAAAGACAAATTTGACTTTTTATTTGCAGAGCTATTAATAATCATTGTTATCATATATGATTTAAATATTATATAAATTTACTTTCCTAGGAGTAATATCACTATGGGTTGTTAATTGTATTACGTAAAAATTTGGGTAGTAATTTCTTTATTTCCATTATAATTTGGAAAATCATTAAGTATTATTCTAATTAAAAAATTAAATAGAATATATAGTTTTACATAATAGCTGTCAAAAACAAATTACAGAAATTTAAAAATAGCGAACTCGAATACCGAACCAAATTACTGCATCGCTATTAAGTACGTGCCAAATATTCGGTTCGACACGGTTCAACTGGTTTACCAAACCGACGAAAACCCTTGCATTCAAAAATTATTGGCAACCAAGTAGTTTTATTTCTAGCTCCTAATATATTCCTTATAAGTCCATATATGACTCATTCCAACTTTAACGATTGCTTTCATTGCCAAGTATACAAATTATATTTTGGCTACAATTATGTTCGTTGCCAATTTATTGAATATTCACAACGAAATATTTTGTTGTCTTTTATAGCTTATTAACAACGAAATGTATTTGTTGCCAATGAAACATTATTTGCTACAATTTAATTCGTAGCAAAAAGAATTATTCTTTTGCAACAAAATATTTTGTTGTAATTCATTAAATTTGTTGACAATTGTGTACAATACTATTCACTACAATGAGTTTCGTTGCCTAATTAGATGAAAAGGCTACAAATCCATTTTGTTGCCGAAACATTCAACTTTGGCAACGAATATCAATTTTTGTTGCTAAAATATAACTATTCGCAACAAAATTAATATCGTAGTTAAACAATTCGTTGCCAATTTTGCTATTTCTTGTAGTGTCTTCATCAGTTGTCCTTAATTTTGCTTCCATAGCCTCAGTTTGTTTCTTCTCTCCAGCCCTATCTTCTTCAACGCAAGCGTCATTCATGTAAAGGCGAGCCTTGAAGAGGTAGCGGTTAGCTCTCCCTAGGTAGCGGATATAATTGGCCCTTGCGCTCAAGTTATCCTGTACAACACGTACGGTGCGGCTGCAAAACATGTTCTTTCAATTGACGACAACACGGCTGCTCCACCATCCGTTGGGCCGCTTTAAGGCAAGGCTTCCAATCGTGTGGCACCAGTATTGGTATGCTCTTGTACTCACCTCCACAATTCTGCATTATTTCGAACACCGACTGTCCTGGAGGATCCGGCTCCAGAGTGTTGTACACTATAGCAAATAACGCGTACTCTATTGTGTACTGGATTTTGCGCCTCTCGTCATCCGGCAACATTATATTTTTTTTTTCTTTTCCCTGCTGAATATGAATATTCCATTTAATATTAATATTAATCAAACAAGAAGACTAAAATCTCAGTGCTAAAAAAATATTGAGAATGAAAACAGGTAAGAATTTTTTATTGTTAATATAAATATTGAACATGCAAAATAGTATACATAACAGAACATACAGAGAAAACACAGAACACGGATTGATAAAGAATAGAAAATATAAGTCTCTAACCCGTCATCCTCTTCGCCACTCGCCGCCTCATCCTCCTGCCGCCTATCATTCTCGACAGCAAAACTCGACGCCGTCGCCGTCAATCCCAGATCTAACATATCCTCTCGATGTGAAAGAGAGGACCACTACAGAAAGAGAGAAAAGAAAGAGAAAGGTGTGGGGCGGTTGAAGAAGAGAGCGAGCCAGGGTAGGCGGCGGATAAAAAGAAAGTGGGGAGAAAAAATAGAGAAATGTGGTTTTTTATTAGGTATATCAAGGGTATTTTAGGGTTAAATAAAAATAAAAGGATGTGGGTCAAATTAAATTTTCAAATAAGGATTTAGTAAAAACATTCTATTTGAGGTTGTGCCCCACATCTAATTATGTTTGGTTTGAGGGGTGTCTTCAATATTAACCCTTTTTATTATGAAGAGAACGAAACAGCACATCCGAAAGTGTAGCCGGGATCCTTCATCGCACGGCGACTCAATTGACAGACTCAGCGAGTTGCCGGACTCACTCCTGACTCACATTCTCCCTTTTATATTGACAAGGGATTCGGTAAGAACGTGCGTTCTAGGTCAAAGATGGAGGTATCTCTGGACTGATGTCCCCATTTTAGATTTCACTTGTGTATCTCTGGACTTTATCAATAGGTTCATGCTGCTACATAACAAACTTCAAGAAATCGATACTTTCCGTCTCGATTACGACTACGAAACGCTCAACGAGTACGAAAGGTTCAATGAGCGTCTTCTCCATGCATGCATGAGCGTCTTCTCCATGCATGCATTACCTCTGCCATTGACCGAAACGTCCGAAACCTTCATCTTCCTGCTTTCGATACTCGTATATTTCCTTCTTGATGCTTCTTCACCTGCAAAACCCTTGTTCATTTAACTCTCGATTCATGCGAGGTGGTTGGTGGGGCTGTGTGTTTGCCTCGACTCAAGAAGCTTCATTTATTGTATCCCGAATTTGGGGATGACGAGTCACTCACGCAGCTAATTTCTGGCTGTCCCATCCTCGAGGAGTTGCAATCGAAAAACCATTCACGGCTATGTTATCTTGTATTATAACTTCGCCCACAATTAAAAGGGTCACCCTCAATTTTGAGGAAACCGGTAGGGAGAATTACATTTTTGGTCCCTCATGTTTGACCCGATTTCACTTTTGGTCCCCCATGTTTCAAAGTAAACAAAGTTCACCTCCAAGTTTCAATTTTAAACACTTTTGGTCTCTGCCGTTACATATCCGTTAGCAAGTAACGGAAAACACTATTTTAGGGTGAAAATCGAAATTTTAAAATCATTGGGGCTGAAAATAATTATAAATTTAAAATAGACTACTTATAATTTTTAATAATAAAAAACAATTAACAAAACAAATTATTTTTTAATATGCATTATATTATTATAATTATACTACTTATAATTATTATTTTAATAATAAAAAAATTAACTAAAAAAATTATTTTAATTATACTACTTATGATAAAAAAAATTAATAACAAGAAAACAAATTAACTAAACAAATTATTTTTAATTATACTTAATATTATTATAATTGTACTACTTATAATTATTTTTTTAATACTAAAAAAATAAATTAACTAAAAAAGTTATTTTTAATTATACTTAATAGTATTTGTAATTATTCTACTTATAATATAATAATAATAATAATAATAATAATAATAATAATAATAATAATAATAATAATAATAATAATAATAATAATAATAATAATAATAATAATAATAATAATAATAATAATAATAATAATAATAATAATAATAATAATAATAATAATAATAATAATAATAATAATAATAATAATAATAATAATAATAATAAAAAGAAATTAGCTAAACAAGTCATGTATAATTATACTTAATATTATTATAATAATACTACTTATAATTAACTTTTTAATAATAAAAAAGAAATTAACTAAATAAATTATTGTGCATTATATTTAATATTAGTTTTCATTATACTACTTATGGTTATTTTTTAATAATAAAAAGAGAAATTAACTAAATAAATTTCATTATACTTTATATTATTACAAATTTAATTATAAGTAGTGTATTTTAAATTTCTAATTATTTTTCAGCCCAAAAAAAATTTAAAACTTTACTTTTCGCCGCAAAATAGTGTTTTCCGTTACTTGCTAACGGACATGTAGCTGCAGGGACCAAAAGTGTTTAAAATTGAAACTTGAACTTTTGTTCACTTTGAAAATAGGGGGACCAAAAGTGAAATGGGGTCAAACATGAGGGACCAATTCTCCCGTAACTGGTAATAGGTTTAACACACTAAAGATGAATATACCGGCACTTGACTATCTTGAGGTAGCCGATCGATTGCCTGTACATTTCGAATTTGGGCAACTAACATCCTTATTTGAAGCAAATATTAATCTTTTTGAGGATGTCGTACAAGAAGACTATTTTCTTTATTCTCGATCGCTGCTGGAATTTATTGATACACTTTGCAACGTCAAGTGCCTAAAATTAGATTTATCATTTCGTAAAGGGGTATGCTTATGTTCAATGTTTCATCGCCACATTGCCCGTTTCTTTAGAGTTGGCTATGTTATGCTGTCTTTGTGCTTTTTTTCTTTATTCTTGAACAGATTATTGAATCGATTCTGTCTATTTGGAGTACAAAGTTCCGTAACTTGACGAAACTGGAATTGACTGCTAATTGCCGTTTCCTCCTAAATTAGTTCCTCGAAAGGGCTGATAATCTTGAAACCGTAATCTTCTATGAGGTTTGTCGATGCAATATAATGGAAAAAGTTTATAGCTATTCTTACGTCTTTTTAGTTGTACTCTTACATAAGCTAGCTGTAGCTTTTATTCTCTTTTTCTTGTGTTGTTCATATCAGTATGGTTGTGAAGAAATAGAAGGATGGAAGGAACCGCCACAACAAGTGCCCAAGTGTCTGCTATCGCGTCTTAAAATTATAAAAATTGCTACAATTGAAGGTGAAAAGCACGAGTTTGAGATTATAAGATATCTTATAAGGAATGCTAAAGTCTTGGAGACGATTGAATTAGCACATGGCTCGTGCATTGGTTTCAAGAAAAAGTTCAATATGGTCTACGGCATGTGAAGCACTTGCCTTTGTGGGGGCTGTTAAGGGGCTGCGTAATCCAAGGTTCTTGCATTAGTGTCTTCTAATTGCCGAAAGAAAGGTGAGAATGTTCGGAAGTACTTTTGTATGTAGTTAGTTCCTTGAGGATAATTTTATTTCATGCTTTGTGTTTGGAGTTTCAACGACGGTTTCCTAAACTTAGTCCCGTTGATGACTCGGTTTTGTGGCAAGGATGAGAACATGTCTCGCATTCAGGTCATTTTTCGTCTAACGACTTTGTGGGTTTTATTTTGTTATCCATATCGCATTTTGATTGAGTTTATGTGTCGGAAAATATGATGAACAATCAATTGTTATACGTCTAATACAGATATATGTTCTTGTTTTATTTTGTTATCCATATAGCAATGTTTTTTCTTTTTTCTTTTTTTGACCTTCATAGATGAAGCTTCAACTCATCAGAAAATAAGGTAAAGCAACTACGACAGAACAGATATTGAGCTTTACTCGAGTCCACTATTTCATTGTGTTGATAAAATATAAACGAAATACAATATTAATCGATTACTGTATAATCATATACATGTCAATTTTTTGTCGATAGTGTAAAACTAATTCAATTCCGTTTCAGAAAAGTTGGGAAAAGTCGAATAAAATTTCGGGATAATTATAGTTTTCGTCCCCCAAGTTTGCACGTTTTTCACTTTTGGTCCCTCATTTACCGTCATCAACAAAAACACACTAATGTCGTCACATTTTAACACATTTAGCCCCTCAGTTTGTTTGACCTTCAAGAAGTAACGGTCAACTGTTGAATTAGCGCTGAATTTGGGAATTTTCATTGAGAAAATTGCACTCAGACCCCTGTATTCTATAAAATATTCTAAAAATCCCTAAAATATTATTCACCCCTAATTTAACCTCAGTTTAATCATTTAATCAATTTTGACAAACGATCACAATTTTTACCACCATTACCGCTGACGTTGACCGTCGTTGATTTTTTTTTTTTAACTTTTTCTTTCGTCACCGACATTGTATTCTCGACGATTTGACAAACGATCACAATTTTTTTTAAATATTGTTTTTGACGCCGTTCACCGACATTGTATTCTCGGTTAACAATGTTGACTTTTTAATTTTTCTTGTTTTTTTTTACTTTTTCCTGTGATTTTTTTTTTTCCGATCAACACAATATTATTATTGTATAACACAATAATAATACTATATTAATATATAGTATCGTAATATTAAAATTACAAACTTCTAACAAAGTTTTTATCTAAAATTTTGGGGCCTAAATACAATTTAAAAAATTCTTAAATCCATAATTTCTTCCCCTCAAATTTTTTTTCGTGGAACCGCAAGTGCATCCCTAATTTCTTCCCAAACAAATATGAAGAAGATAAATTAGGCATGTGCGGAGTAATTTGGAAATGAGACACTCTAGTACAACGGTTTTTTGGGCTAACACCGGTCGTTAATTTTTATCTTTTTTTTTTTATCTTAAAATTTTCCCTCATTGAGCGACATTGACTTTTTCTTTTTTTCTTTTATTTTGACTTCTTTTATGATATTATGTTTCTCGCCGATTATCAGCTTTGACTTTTTTTTAAAACTATATTTTTCCCGACATTCAACATCGGTCAACAACGGCAAAAAAAATCAATCGAAAAAAGAGTCAACCGAGTTAAAAACAAAGTCAACGTCGGATTACCCGATTTTAAAAAATCGAGGTCATTGGTTAAAATTGGTTAATGGATGAAATTGGGATTAAATAATGGTTGGATAAAATTTTAGGGGTATTTAAAATATTTTGAAAGAATGCAAGGGTCTTATTGTAATTTTTTCAAAGAAAACCCCCAAAATTCAACCTTAATTCAACCATTGACCGTTACTTCTTAACGGTCAGACAGACGGAGGGACTAAATGTGTTAAAATGTGACAACATTAGTGTATATTTTGTTGACGGTGGTAAATGGAGGACCAAAAGTGAAAAACGTGCAAACTTGGGGACCAAAACTGTAATTATCCTTGAAATTTCAGAAATTGGAATGAAAAATGTTGTTCCAGAGTAGGAAGTTATAAATATAATCCATAGTTACGGCTCCAAACTCGGAAATCCTCATAGTGCGGCAAATCGTAAATTTTAGTTCATGACGCTGTTGGGATTGATTGATACACTTTGCAACGTCAAGTGCAAAGTCTACATTACGTCATGTCTTTTAGCAGTTATGATGGCGTTATGTACTTTTTTAATCTTGATAATTACAAAAATAAATAATCTTTTAGCAGTTATGATGGCGTCATATACTTTGTACTCGACTTTGTTCACTTTGGCGTCAAGTAATCTTGATTATTATGATGTCTTCTAACAGTTATGATGATGTTATGTACTTTTTTAATCTTGATAATCTCGGTAGTTGTAACACCCCACGTCTCCGATAATTTATTTTTCCATTAATTAACATATATTTAGTTAACATGATTTTATCTCTTATGTGTGTCTACTAGTTAAAGATTTTATTTATGCGATAACTGGTGAAATTTTATATAGAATGCATTAGTCGGAAAAAAATTTGGACGAATTTATATTGATTAGGATAGTTAATTATTATACCTAGAGATTTCATATTCATTTATTTTGCTAGAACTCATTTATTAGGATAGTTTTGAATCACATATTTGCTTAACTGGAAACTAATTTTTTTTGTTGAATAAAATTATTTGTAAAAAAAATCGAAAATTTGTCCATATTACTCCTTCAATATTTTGCCACCATGGTACAACACAAGACCAAAAAATTTCATTCAGTACAACCCTTCTCTAGGTGAGCCAATTTCCATTAAGATTTTCCTTTTTTGAATGTGGTTTTAAGGATAGTTATATGAAATTGCAAAGAAGTTCCTCTAGATACTTTCTAAGTTTGTCTAAATTACAAAAAAGCCACTCTACCATTCTTAATCATTAAGCTTGCATACAAGACCCCAACAACTAAATAAATAGAACTCAAGCCTTAATATGTTTTCTCATCTTCTCTACACATCCTAAAGATCAAAGATCAAAATCTCTTTCTCTTCTACTAACATTTTCAAAATTAGTGGTGTAGGAAAGCCCCAAAATCTCTATTTCAAGAGTAAAATTCTTTGTCAAATGAGATGAAGGGTGTAAAAGAATGACTCCGTTGTAAATGATCTACTCTTAGTCCTTATGAAATGATGAAAAGAGGTCTAAGAGGTACAACGAGAAGGTGCGAGAGGTAAACCGAGAAAATAAAGGTAAATTGGTAAAGAGCCTTAATGAAATAACGATTGAGGTAAAATTGAAATATTTATATTGTGTATATGTGTGATTTGAGATTCGTATATATATATATATATATATATATATATATATATATATATATATATATATATATATATATATATATATATATATATATATATATATATATATATATATATATATATATATATATATATATATATATATATATATATATATATATATATATATATATATATATATATATATATATATATATATATATATATATATATATATATATATATATATATATATATATATGCATTTGATACTTTTTCGGAAATTCTCATTGACTCCAAAAGACTCATATTGAAATGCTTGTAGGTACTTTGAATCCCGAGCACGTGTAAAGTTGGAGTCGAGTTCGAGTATCGAGGGATATATATGTTCATATCGAAGGCGCGTGGATTTTGTTGTATAGGAAGAATAGAACAGGAGAAGGAGAGAAAGATAGAATAGAAACCCCCATTATGTTATGGGTTGATTTACATGGAATATATATAGAGAAATAATAGGAGGTAATAGAGTTTAACTAGATAACTAAATCCTAACTGATCTAGGTAACTCAATCATACTAGAATCCTAATATTACAAGAGTCCTATAATATAATATTCTCTAACACGCCCCCACAGTCGAAACGTGACGAACGTGAAGACTGGACAATCACTTGCTAACACGCTCCCGCAGTCGGAACGAATATACTCCAAAAGTGAAGACTGGTCAGAAACCGCGAAACACAACGCTAGAGAATTCCTCTGTGAAAATATCTGCCCAACTGATAGAAAAAAAAATAATAATAATAAAAATAATAACGGGAGAGAGAAAAATAAGCATTTTTTTGTGTGTATGAATCGAGAGAGAGAGATAGAAGATATGAGAGGGGGAAGAAGAATAATTAAAAGAAGATAGAGTTTAAAAGAGAAAAAAAATAGATTAACCGACTAAGAAGAAGAAGATGTCGGAAAGAAAAAAGAAATATGTATATATAAGTTACGACCACCGGGAGAGGGAGGAAATTTGGGTGGTGTTCATGGAAAAGATAGAAGTAGATAGATAGAGAGGAAAGTACCACCACCAGGAGGGAGATAATTGGTTTGGTGGTCGCCAGCCATCGAAAAGAAGAGAGGCGGCGGCGGCTAGGTTTTAAGCCATGGAGAAGAAGAAGGAAAGATATAGAAGATGCACCACCGGAGGAGGAAGAAAATTCGGGTGATGTGCATGGAAAAGATAGAAAAAGAAAAAAATATTAGAGTACCACCACCGGGGGAGGGAGAAAATTGGGTGGTCACCGCCATGGAGAAAAAAGGCGGCTAGGTTTTCACCGCCATAGAGAAGAAAGACGGCTAGGTTAAAAAACCTGGTGTTCTGATACCATATAGGAAGAATAGAACAGGAGAAGGAGAGAAAGATAGAATAGAAACCCCATTATGTTATGGGTTGATTTACATGGAATATATATAGATAAATAATACGAGGTAATAGAGTTTAACTAGGTAACTAAATCCTAACTGATCTAGGTAACTCAATCATACTAGAATCCTAATATTACAAGAGTTCTATAATATAATATTCTCTAACATGTTGTGTTCTTAATCTAGCCATGTGGTTCTACTTGTATAGTTTCATATTAAAGACTTTCCATACCGTCTTAAATATCTACTATCGTACTCTTCCACCCCTTGGGGCTCTTATTAGTAAGAACATTTAATTTAATAGTAATTAGGATACAGATATTCGGTTGTAGTCATATTAGACCTAGTAACTTATCGGAAAAAACAAAATTCAGGAAATAATAATAATAATAATAATAATAATAATAATAATAATAATAATAATAATAATAATAATAATAATAATAATAGTAATAATAATAATAGTAATAATAATAATAGTAATAATAATAATAGTAATAATAATAATAGTAATAATAATAATAATAGTAATAATAATAATAATA